ACACCCCTGCTGAGGCCCTGCAGAGACACCCCTGCTGAGGCCCTGCAAATCAAACAAGAAGGCAGTTGGATGGAAGTCACCTCAGCTAGCCCCAGTTCATAGAACAGAGCCAAGCAGCTCATTAAGAAAACTCCACACAGAGGTGGAGCTAGGAACTCACAGGAGAAGAACAAAGGATATCTCAGAGCAGAACAAGGCAGGCAATGCGGGGGGGGGGGGAGGGCTGCCGTGCAAGGCAAACCCCCAACATCCAGGCCATTGGCTGTGTTCTCTTCTATCTCCATCGAGCTCTCAGCCCTCTCCCCACAGCTTCAGTGTCCCCCCATCCCCCCGCCAACAGTGATGATTCCTGCAGTCAGCATCAGACCACAGCAATGGGCTGGAGATAGATCCTGGTGTCTGTAACACCAGTCTGATGGAGGGGAAACTTGCCCATCATGACACTACTACAACCCGACGCTCCTGAATTATACTATACTATATATTATACTACATACTATACTATATATTATACTATATACTATACTACATACTATACTGTATACTATAAAGCCCTTCCAGAAAGAAGAGAGGTGACCTGAAAAGAATCAAAAACCTTAACTAATCATCTAACCTCACACGGGCAGATCCAAGTGCAAAGACAGAAGGAACATGAAATATCAGGACTGTGTGTCTTCTCCCAAATCAGCAAATCTAAAGTCATGGCTCCTCGTGAAAGGGACTCAGACAAAATGCTAGTCACAAAATTCAAAGGAATAATTATAAAGATGTTCAAGCAATCTGTGAAGGGCACAGATATTTTCTGAGAGAGCACAAACAAACAACTGACTAGATAAAAAAGTCAATTCATGATATGGAAACAGAAAGGAAAAAGACACTGAAGGAAACTCAACTGAAATGAAAACACAATAGAGCCAATGAAAGTTCAGCATAAAGCTTCACCACCAGAGTAGCCCATGGTGGAGTACAAGGGGCAGGAAGACAAAACAGAGCAAGCGGATCAGTCCATCAGAGCCAGGGACAGATTTTAAAAAAATGTATGGATGGAACATGCAAGAACTTGGGGACAGGCCACACAATCACAAATCATGGACACGGAAGGAGAAGAAGACTTTCAAGCCAAAGATGAAGCTATTTCTCAGAAGAAAATAACTATGGAAGAAAAAAAAAACTCCAAATCTAGGGAGAGAGAAGCCGACCCAGATTCAAGAGGGACACGGAACACCAAACAGACAAGACTGGAGAAGGGGCTTCCTGTGTCAAATTACACTTTAAGAATGTATAACAAGGGAAGTACACGGAAAGCTACTAAGGAGAAGGACTCATCCAGCCGGCGGGAAAGACAAGACCATCAGAACAATTGCTGGCTTTTCAATCAAAACCTTACATGCACAGAAGGCTCAGTGTGAGGTATTTCAAAATCTAAGCGATCACAACTGCCAACCCAGCTGACTGTAACCTGCAGAACTATCTCTGGTAACTGAAGGTGATAAAGGCAGGCAAAAGGAACTCATGGCCATCAAACCACTCTTACAGAGAACACCGTGGGGAACCCTTGGGACTGAAAAGAAAGATAAACACATCTGAGAGACCAGAGGAGCAAAAAATAAATGATACTAAAAAGAAATTAAACCAAAGAGTACTAAGAAATCCTCAGATGCCGTACAATCAACAAGAATGACGGGGGCACACACGCACGTGTCACCGATAACTCTGTCTGTGGATTGTCTCAGTTATCCCATCAAGAGAGTCAGACGAGAGGACCAGATTAGGGAACAGAATTCTTATTTTACTGCCTCCAAGAAATGCACCTTCTGCCCCAAAATAAACATCACCTCAGAGAGAAAGGGTTAAAATAAAAGTATCCCAAGCAAATGGAGCAAGGAGAAGCCGGCGTTGCTATCCTAATATCTGACAAGACAGACTGAGGCCAGTTCTCGTCAGAGGAGATAACATCACTTCATACTGACAAAGAGAACCGTTCATCAAAAGAAAACATAATTCTAAATATGCGTGTCCCAAATGCAGGCTCATGCCATTTCATAAAACAAATCCTAGATCTAAAGTCCCAGATTAACTCTAACTCACTCGTGGGTGACTCCACTGTCTCACTGTCACCATTAGACACACCAGCCAGGCAAATATTAATGACGAAGCGCTGGGGTTAAATGACATCAACTGTTTTCTTCAAGTCCACCTAATGTTTTGGGATAAGGCCTCTCAATGAGCCCAGCGTTTGCTGGTTTGGTTGGACTGGCTGTGTAGAAAGTCCCAGGGATCCTTCTGTCCCCAGTTCCCTAGCACTGGGACCACGGGCTCACACAGCTACAGGTGTTTTTGACATGGGTCCTCACACCTGCAAAGCCAGCCCTTTAGGAACAGAGTGCTCTCTCCAGATCACAGCTATTCTCGCTGGTCGTCTTCCATACTCAAATGCCATGGAGGGAAGAGGGCTGAGGGATTAGGTATCTCTTTGGGTTGAGCCTTAAATACACAGCGACTCACTCAAGACGGATCGGCGCTTCTTTTACCAACTTTGCTGAGGTGTCACAGGCAGTGGGAGGCACAGACCACTGCTAGGACGTTCACCCTCTAGGAGAAAGGACAGCACCCAGGCATGGAGCCGTTAGAAACCAGAGAGAGCTGTGGAGGATTCAGGAAGAATCAGTATGCCACCGCAGATGAAAAGACAGCTGCAAATAGATGCCCCCCCCACCTCCCCACAAGACAGTATCTGTGAGCATGTCTAGATCTATGACCCGGGCACACCTCTGGGCTACAACTATGAGGGGCGGCCTGCATCTCTTACACTGAACTGCTTCTTGAAATGAAGCTAACATTTCTAAGTTTGTGATGGGTGACTGGAATTTTTGATCAGTACTCTTAACTTTAGAAAGCCTGAATTAAGGGGAATAAAGCCTTAAAAGCAAAGCAAACCAGAAAGACGAAGTAGAAAGAAAGGTGACTGAAGGGCAACTGCAACTTCTTTCCACTCCACCATATGTTATTGGCTGTTTTCTGCAATCCTTACCCACCCAGTCAGCTGGGGACACAGAATGAAACATGGCATCATGCTCTAATCATGAGAGAGAAGCCAATCGCTGAAAGGTATTTTTTTTCTACTTAGTGGAAAGTTCTAGAAATTGTTACTTGGTCATAAAAATGTTCTCATATCTCCTTTTATCTTTTAAGTCATCCAAAGGCCAGATGTTGAGAAACAGGGGTGAAGGCCTCCCCTTTGCTTCACACAGTTGGCAGCCTACAATACAGCATAATTAAATAATTGCTTTGGACTATCTTGGGCATAATTAATCATTTAGCTGTAAAGATCTCTGGAAAGAGCAGTCCAAGATCCAAGCACTCAAGGTTTCTGAGATGTAAAAATGTGATGTTCTCACAGCCCTTTCTGGCCCCAAGTTAGATAAGGGAGGGAATTTGTTTTAGGGTAGATGTCATAAATGTTTGATTATAAACTTCAAGTTGGAAGAATCTCAGAGTAGAGAATTTGAGTCTAGCAGATTTTGAAAGTAGGCTTCTACCCTCTCCGGTATGCAAGGAGGGAAGGGCTAAGTCAAGACGACGTGTGAGTGCTTGGGAAAGATAGAGACTGGGGGTTCAGTCCCATTATACCTATTACTGGGGTGGCCTTCATGCGGCTGAGGTCCCAGGCAGCTCAAGGAAGATCTGGGGATCCACTCCTGACCCGTGCATCTGAGGCTTGTGTTTCTTGGTATACCCCCACCCATCGCCA